TCAGACACAATCGGCAGCCAATCCAGGCTGAATGTCCTGCATCTCCTTCTCCTGTCCTCCACTCCTAGGCTAGGGATGGGCGAAACTAGTGCCGGATGCTGGTCTTGTCCAGCCTGCATTGTTGGTCGGGCTGGCCTGAGGCTTTCGGGTTGAGCAATGGCCAACCTCTGGCCGTCACAGACCTGAATTCTTGCCAGGTTGGCTTGTGGCTTGTCCGACAGGTGACGAGCCCAGTAGGCTCATCTCGAGCCTAGGGTGGCCATGATTCTAAAAGAGGCTCACGTTGGCCACTTCCATTAACCTGCGAAACCTCCCAATCACTCCCTAGACGGACCTACCTATTCTGTAAAACTTCAGGCTGGTTGGTGGCGCTGAATCAATGGTGATGGATTGCGGTCAAATACCGTGGACATGAAGTAGTTTGTCTGGCTTTGATTGAGAACGCTTCCACAGTTAGAATGTCGTAAACGCGAAGAGCACGGACCGGGACGTCTTCCCTGGGGTACTGACCTGACTCGATCCGACCGGTACCCACTAGGGACGGGCCAACCCGATGCTCTTGTCTGAGTAGAATTCTGACCTGCCGAGAGGGCCAATTTGCAAATTTTTTTTTTTTTGGCAAAATGCTTAGCAAAAAACTCGCCACTTTATCCTTTTCTTGCAGGTTTTTTTTTCTGTATTGGAAAAAAGATGCCGTTTTTTCACGCAAATAAAAAATTATTTATGTTTTATACGGTTGTTTATTATGATGCCATATTTTTGTTACAAACTGTGAGATCTAGAAGGCTCTATGCCCTTCGATTAAATCACAAAAGATGGACTCCACGAGGTCACCTCTGAGGGTCTTTGGGTGCTAGGCAAGCCAGCCCCTACCCAAGGGTCCATGTTTGTAGAGAGTTCCACCAAGTGTAAGTTCGATCGAGAGCACTAGAGTATTCCTACAGTTATTCGCACAGCGTCACATCGATCGATTGGCTCATGTGCATATTAAACTCTTCACGTCAATACGTTGTAAGAGTAATATTCAGTCACAAAAGATTGTTCACAAACAAACGCAAGCACAAGTTTATATTAACCCACCAAAAGCGAAAGCTACCAGCCCACCAAAGTGACAACTAAAACCATATTTTGAATTGCCAACTTTCTCTATGCGGAACCAGTGGGACATACTCGCCCACGAACGTTTATGCAGGCCATACTTGTCCGCGAAGCCTCGTGGACGCTCGGTGGCGACCACTCGTGACAGCTTACGGAATCTCCTGAAGAAATGGCGCAGTTACGCGATGAAATTACTAAGTCACCGAAATCACTCCCGCACAATTCGCACCAGCTTCGAATGTAAATCACGCGCTTCGCGAAACACCCCGTAGCGAAATTCCTCCCGGCTAATGAGGACAAACAGCTCGAGGGTCCCACAATTCAATTGTTGACCCACATGCCCTCGTCCTTTCCCACGCGCCACCTCACTGCCACACTCGCGCGTGTGGCGAGGAATTCTTTTGCGGCCTCAGGCCGTGCGTGTGCCTTGACTGGCACACTCCCCATGATTGCGCCTAAGGCGCAACAGTGCTCGGGCTCATGGCTTCGAGCCTTGACCACCTCGATAGGGAGAAACCCCTAAAACATCATAAACGAAAAAACGAAATTACAAACGAACTCATCAAAACAACTGAAAACGCAACTATTAAAATTCACCTACAAACCATGAACTCACACGAACGCTTCACAAACAAACTCATGAACATCCACAACACTTTCACGAAAACCCGTGACTCGCAGAACACATGAAATAACACGATCGCACACAAAATCTCGGAACTTACAAAATGACACGAACACTCACCTTCACTTATGGAAACTCATGAACACTCACAAATGCAACCCTTCACGAAAACGCTCATAACTCATGAATAGTCGAGGCAATTCACGAACCGTAAACGCCCAAACGTAAAGCTCAGAAATGCGCACCTCACACATAACAAATTACCTTCAAACAGAAAACTTCATTTACCTTCACCGACGGCGAATAGGCGGTAGGTTGACGTGCAAAACGCATATTGCACTCAACAATTTTACGGTCACAATTAGGGATGAGCATGGAAACGAACACGTTCGAGGCGAACCGAACAGGATTTTTTTTTGGCTAAAAATGTTCGGAGCGAACGTGTTCGGTGTTCGCCCGAACACGTTCGGTGATCGCCCCGCTACTGCTGCCGAGCCGCGTCGAACATGAACGCGTTCGTGTTCGTTTCGGGGCAAAAACGAACACGAATGTGTTCGACGCGACTGTCCCGGCGGGCTACAATTTACGTTGCGGGACATTCTGTTTGAGCTCAAATTTGAGCTCAAACTTAGTCGCGCTATTCAGCAGCAGCCATTACTACCACGCCCCCCACACATCACGCCGTTATCACCTCATTAGGACTTAGCGTAATTAAGTAGTTACCTTAGGTTAGTCTGTATAGACTTGGGTATGCGAGATTTAGGTTTTCGGGAAAAGATTAGACAGGGATATCGCAGAAGTTCGTAAGTTGAGGGTTGGGGGTAAGCATTCGCAAATTTCGTATGCATGGGATTGACAGGAATAGCGTTTGCATATTTCGTGAGTTGGGGGGTTGTGGGGGGTTGGCGAGCAATTGCAAATTTCGTAGATATAGAACGGGGAGAGCATTTCGCCTTACGTGGGGGGAAATCCAGGTGGCGAGCTGGATAAAAAAAACTATGGATCCGTAACTAAATCTCGCAAAATGCTGATCCAGCCTAGATATTTTCCCCCAGTTTCCCGCAATTCCCCTGCCCGCCGTTGCGTATTTTGAGCATAACAAAGGATGCCCAGGGGCGAACACGTTCGTGTTCGCCTTAGCATGCAAGATGTTCGCCCTACAGGCGAATTCGGTTCGCCGAACGGCAGTGTTCGAGCTGGGGCGAACGCGAACATGTTCGTGTTCGCCCCTTGCTCATCCCTAGTCACAATTTGACTAAAAAACTCTTCTTATTTTGCACCTTGTTCCCAGGCCCATGTTTGATGCCATTCGATGCACTCTGGACTGTGTTATTTAAAAAGTTTGGTCAATTCGAGTAACGTGAATTAACTCAATCTCAAGTTCGATTCAAATGTTACTCATGCCTGTCTCTCACCATGCTCTCCTCATCCGCCAATTAGGTTGAACTTGTGTGCCTCTAATCTCATCTCCTCACTTCTACCCCAACCCACACACACAGGTCTCTGTCGAACAACATCTTGGCGGGTTCGATTCCCAATGGCATCTCCATGCTTTCTTGGCTCACTTATCTGTATGAAGCATCTCGACAGCCAATCCAGGCTGAATGTCCTGCATCTCCTTCTCCTGTCCTCCACTCCTAGGCTAGGGATGAGCAAAACTAGTGCCGCATGCTGGTCTTGTCCAGCCTGCATTGTTGGTCGGGCTGGCCTGAGGCTTTCGGGTTGAGCAATGGCCGACCTTTGGCCGTCACAGAACTAGATTCTTGCCAGGTTGGCTTGGCTCGTCCGAGCCAAGTAGGCTCGTCATGAGCTAGGATAGCCATGTATTTACAATAGGCTCATGACCACTCCCTTGACGGACCTAGCTATTCCAATTTACTTCAAGTTGGTTGGTGGAACCAATGCTGATGGATTGCGGTCATATACTATGGAGTAGTTCGTTTGCCTCTAATTCAAAACGCTCCCACAGTTTCGGTGCACTGCATTTGAAAGCTCGCAGACTTGCAGGAGTTTGTGAAGTGGAATTCTGTCTTCTCCCACATCATTTTGCTCTTCATTTCCCACTCGCATAGCTCGTGTGCTGTGCGCCCATCCATGTGCCCTTTTCCATTCTTCTTTCAAAGACCATCCCAGTTCCTTGCGTTCCCTCATGCCACAACCTAAACTACGTTTCCCCAACTACTTACATTCCCCTCCACCCCCCACCCTCCCTGCTTCCAGCGAAGGCTGCTTGTTCTCCTCCGTGCTCCCAACAGTGCTCTCCACCTGATGGGATCTCGACCCATCGAACCCCCGTGGGCCGCCATGCCTGCTATACTCATCTCTTCTTTTTCTCATCCAATTCCCACAACACACAATGCACAGGGATCTCTCATCCAATTCCCTCAGTGGCAACATATTCAGTGACTTTGAATTGCTTGATCGCCTCAACTATCTGTACGTTGTTGTTTGGCCCTCCACAGTCTGTTTCAAAGAATTCTGAGAGCGTGATCAGCTAATGACTACAAACAGATCTAGATCTATCAACTCACTTCCATTAGCGCTTTGTGGCCCCTCCACACCCCAGTTGCCGTTCCTAAGCATTCTGGGACGACCTGTGACCAGTTCAGTGGTTTGCCAGCACCATGCATCTTCTCTCAGTAGTTGTTTCCCAGTCCCGTTGGACCAACCCGCCATACATGGTTCAATCATGTGTTGTTGCGTTGCTTCATGTAGATGGATGCACGGCGCTGCGTTGCTGTGTGCAGGAGGCTAGGCTAACTGAGATTTCTCCTGTACTTTTCATCCACCCCTTGTGACCAGAAACCTTTCTGATAATGATCTCAGCGGTGAGATTCCAGCTGAGATTGGAGGCTTCACTTTATTGAAGTACTTGTAAGTAGGCTTGAGCAAGTATGAAACCCGAACAAACCTTGTAAGAGGCTTGAGCAAGTATAAAAGCCAAACTGATCTTGTAATAGGCTGAGCAAGTGGGCTTGAGAAAGTGCCAGAACCGAACCGAACTTGTGAGTATGCTTGAGCAAGTACCAATCTGGAATAAACTTCTAAGTATGTTTGAGAAGATACTTAACTGGAAATGAACCCGTGAGTAGGCTTCAGCAAGTACCAAAGGTGTAAAAAAAAAAGTAAGCAGTGTGATATATACTTGACATGGGTGGGCCATAAAGAGCACTCTTGCAGGATTAGTAGAGTCTTGCAGCTTTTCGCAGCTTACAAAAAAGCGTACGTGCAGTTGTGCCCATGAGTTCCGCCTTTCCATTTCCCGTTTCCACTGCAGTGACGTCTCTGGCACCAACCTCGTATGCCCACCTGACTACTCCGCCTGTGGCACAACACAATCTCCCAACGCAGCCTTTTGTGGCACATGTCAATCCTTCTGCAAGACTTGCTACCAATCTGCAGGCAAGTAAATAAACATCAGCAAAGTACGGTCTCAAGAGTCAAAACTCGATGCATGGAGGAAGGCATTTCAGAGTACAGCAAGCAACGCGTGGCAAGGCATGGCAAAAGACAAGGCAACGCACGGACAAGGCATGTCAATGCATGGCACAAGGCATGGCACAAGGCATGGCACAAGGCATGAGCACAATGAACACAAGGCATGAGCACAAGGCATGAGCACAAGGCATGAGCACAAGGCATGAGCACAAGGCATGGCACAGAGCATGGGACAATGCATGGCACAAGACATGACACACACACATCGCATGGCACAATGCATGGGCACAAGTCATGGGACAAGGCGTTGCACAATGCATGGCACAAGCCATGGCACAACGCATGGCGCAATGCATGGGCACAATGCATGGCACAAGGCATGGCAGAATGCATGGGCACAAGGCATGGGACAAGGCATGACACAATGCTTGCCCGAATTATTAAAAAGCACCTCACCTACTTTGGACAATAAGAGGGGTGTAGAGTTTTCTCGCATTGAGATCATGCAAAATTACGATCAATCTAGGCTCTCTTACCGCGGAGCATCACCCTTCTGATCGTTTTTTGCGCACTTGCCTGCTTGGCTGAACGTTTATTGCTCACACGTTATCACGCCCTCTTGATAACTCTTCTAGTTATAACCTTCATGCAATCCCCACTGCAACTCTTCCTCAGCAGGAGGTGCGGGTACAGTGTCATTGGGCGCCATCATTGGCATTGTTGTTGCCGCTATGGTCATTCTCCTACTTCTTGGTGCAACTCTGCTTTACTTCACACACAAGATCAAGCTGAAACCACAAGGTAGGGAGACAAAGCGACCAGAAGAGTTCATTCTGAATAACCAAACCCTGTCTTGTTTCAACCATGGCGATAAGTGAGGAGCAAGTTCTCCATTGCATGAACTTAGACATCTGCATGCAAGTCTGCAAGACTAATCATGCTCGACTCGACAAAATCCAGCAGCCGAAACCGAGCTCTCAAATCTCTTGCCATGAAATGAGTGAGATCGACTCCCCACTAACAGCGTGGCTTGGCGCACGCATTCACTTCAATCCCCAGCGTACAGGCCTGTATGCATGGCCACACAGCTCTGGAACTTAAGTGGCACAAGGTGTTGAGGCAGTAGATGGTCTAAATCTCAGTTTCCAGGTTTTGGAGCTGCAAAGATTCGTAGAGGCTCTGTGTAGAATATCCCGTGAACTGATTGGCACGCCGCAAATCAATTCCCTAGAATGTTGGGCCAAGTCATGGGACTCGACTCGTCACATGATTCGACTGAGGCCGGCCGAACTCGACCTGACTCGACTCCACTCAACTCGTGCCCAGGCATTTTCCCCTGCACCCATGCACCTCCTTTCACATATGACCCCACGAGCAGGCTCGGGGAGCAGCCTGGCATCCTCGCACTGCACCGAATTCTCACTAGCAGAAGTCCTCAAGGCCACCAACGACTGGTCCGAGGACAACCAGCTGGGCTCGGGTGCCTTTGGCGATGTGTACAAGGGTGTGTCTCCCCGCGATGGCATTACCATGTGGGCTGTCAAGCGCGCCAAGCTGATCGACGTGGACTTTCAGAAAGAGGTCAGTGAGTGAGCTGCACATGTGAAGGTTGCAAATTTTATTGCACTGGTATGTTTTGTCAGTGAGCCATGGTGAACCATGGTGAGCCGTGATAAGATGGCATGTGTCAGTGACATCATTTTCAATCCCACGTCAAGATTTATATGCTCTATTGAAATGTTACATTGCCATGATGTCTTTTGCTGTTCAACTAATTATAGATCGTGTCTTCAATGCTGGTAAATTTAGGACATTCCCTTGGCTGCTTCCCATTTGTTCTGTCATCCCTGATCATATTTGTTTCTTTTCCTCTGGCTGTGTGGATCAGATCCAGCAGATGGCCGACAAGAACCATCCCAACATTGTGAAGCTCCTTGGATTTGCGATCGGAGGAGACTTGAGGACTCGGCCAGAGCAAGTTCTGATCTATGAATATGTGCCCAATGGCGACCTTAACAGATGGATTGGTCCAAGTATGCGTGATACTCCTCCAGCGTGTTTTTTGCTGTGCCACGCAGATGGCGTGCTGTGCCGCGCAGATGTTGTGTCATAAATATGCCGTGCAATTATATGATGTGCCACTTATGCTGCACATCCTTGCAGAGGCAACCTGTGCTTTGTCATTCATGCTCTGCCACTCACGCTTTACCACCCATCCTCTACCACCCTTCCTCTATCACTCATCCTCTACACATCCTCTGCCACTTGTCTGCTGCCACTCGTCCCCTGTCATTCATCCTCTGCAATTCATCCTCTGCCACTCATGCTGTGCCAATCATATGCTGTGCCAATCATATGCTGTGCCATTATATGTTGTGCCAATCATATGCTGTGCCATTCGTCCTTTACCATTCATCCTTTTCCACTCATCCCCTGCCACGTGTTTCTTGCAGAGGCATCCTGCCCTCTGACTCTGAAGCAGCGGCTGGACATTCTCATCGGCTTGGCACGGGGCTTCGAATACCTCCACGGCTTTGGCATCGTGCATCGCGACATCAAGCCTGCCAACGTCCTCATCACCAACAGCATGCAGGCAAGCTTGGTCGTCGTAGTGGATCCTGTCTAGTGAAGATGATATATACATATATACATATACATATATATATATATATAAGTTTGAACAAGGGGTCATTGGCACAACACTACACCAACTATGGCTGGAATGTCTTTCAACTTCATATATCGTTTCTCACAGCAACCATTTACTCAGCCCACTCACAAACCCTTTTACTTACATTTCATGCTCTTTTGTGGATGGCATCACAAGCGACCAGAGTTCTCACTGAGTGATTAATTCCTCATGCTACAATGCCGTCACCAGGCGAAGATTGCCGACTTTGGTCTGCTGAGGATGGGGGAGGGCACAACCGTGGGCACAACGCGCATCATGGGCACACCGGGCTATGTGGATCCGGTCTACTCCATCACGTCCAAGGCCACTGCAGCCAGCGATGTGTACAGGTGAGGCAGTGATGTGTACAGGTGGGCCAGTGAGGTGTAGAGGTGATCATTGCAAAGGCCCTATGGGGATCCAGTCTCCTCCAAGGCACCGCTGCCAGCGATGTGTGCAGGTGGGCCAGTGAGGTGTAGAGGTGATCATTGCAAAGGCCCTATGGGGATCCAGTCTACTCCAAGGCACCGCTGCCAGCGATGTGTGCAGGTGGGCCAGTGAGGTGTAGAGGTGATCATTGCAAAGGCCCTATGGGGATCCAGTCTACTCCAAGGCACCGCTGCCAGCGATGTGTGCAGGTGGGCCAGTGAGGTGTACATGTGAAGCAGTGATGCGTACAAAAGTCCTTGCTGGAAGTGCATAGTATTCAGTAAGGAGAAACTAGAAATGCATTGTAGTAGGAGTCAGCACCCAATAAGACCCGCCCCAAATCTTATGTGTGTGTGATATATGGACCTGTACATGTTGCGGTCAGGAAATAAAACTTATCTGAAAAGCATGTGCCTCTCCCCTCTTCTCTTCCTCTGCCATCTTGTGCCCTGAACATTCTGTGCCTTTGAACATGTCCGCTTTTTTTTCAGCTTTGGAGTGCTCATGTTGGTGGTCCTCACGGGACGAGAGCCAATCTCGGAAACTGCTGGAGAGAGCTGGAAGATCACTCCGTGGGTAAGTGCTTATCCCATGGGACCACCGCGTATGCAATTACCTCAACCCATGAAACCACCTTCCGCCACTACCACATGTGTGGTTGTGGTACTTCCTTTCTTTCCTCGTCCATTTTACACTAGTGGTCCTCACAGGGACGTCAGATCACTCTGTGGGTGAGCACCACTTGCCGGTACTTCCAAAGACTCAAATAGCATATTCTCCAAAGGAAATATTTCCAGCTTCTTGAATACCATATATGTCCCCTCCCAGTCCCTCCACCTGCTCCACCTTTCAACACTCCCTCCACACCCTGCAAACCCTCCACCCTCTCCAAACTCTCCACCTTCTCCCACCCTCAATCTTCTCAACCCCCTCACGTGGCGGAGTGCCTGTCCAAGAATGACGTGGGGAGCCTCATGGACCCCACCATGGACGCCCCTGCTGAAGCTGTGCTGCGAGTGGCTCAGATCTCCCTCGCCTGCACTGGAGAGCGCACTGCAGACCGCCCAAGCATGCTGCAGGTTGCCAACGAGCTGCAGGCCATTCGCGAGGCAGTGGGGGGGAAAGAGGTGCTGTGTGCTGCAGTCAAGGTGGATGCGCAGGTGCAGGAGATGAAGGATGTTGTCGCCGGTGTCGCAAGCCTCGACACGGAAATTATGAAGATTGGAGAGCAGGCCTCAGGATAACAGGATGATTCACCTTTATAAGACGTGGTCTGAGCTGTGAATAAATGGGTGTTTCGCCTTTATGACACTCACTATATGGGTCTGTGCCCTTACAAGAGTGTGAATAATCTCTAAGCTGCCTCATAATTGTAGAGGGTGATGATGCACCTCCATATGGGAAAAACGTCAGTCCAATGTGAGTGTGTGCTGCAACGAGTTAGGCGAAATAAAACGAAAAGAGATCATACTATCAAATGCTGATGTGCAAATTTCTTACTGATGGGGCAACTGATGTGTGTGTGTGTATGTGTGTGTGTGTGTGTGTGTGTGTGTGTGTGTATATGTGTGTGTGTGTATGTGTGTCAGGAGTACGACACAATACAAGATTGTTAAGACATATAGACTTTTAGAGCACCTTTGATGTTATGTGTTTTCTAGTCAACTTCCATTCTTTCTACAGGCTTGTTACATGAACCTTTTATTTTGCTTACATAAGCACTTGCAAAACATAGCTAGTGTGAAACATGTGCGCGTTTCAAAACTCAGCTCTCGTCGAGTCTAAAGACCCATACAGCAGACACCAAGCTTAGGACCCGCAAAATCTGAAGCTTTCGTTTAGGTCGTGTAATGCTCAATGCGACGGTTGGGTGAGGAAGTCATGCCGCGAGTGCACTGGAAACGCAGCAGGTGCCCCAATCTGAGCAAAGAGTTTGCAGTGTGTGCAGGATCGTGCCAACTTGGTGTGGCCCAACGCCCTGCTGTCCAGCCCGAACCTGAGAGGGGAGTGGGGAGAGGTGGGGAAAAGGAGAGACAGTGACAGGGAGAAGGTGACAGGGGCAGAAGGTGACAGGAAGAAGGTGACAGGGAGAAGGGGACAGGGGCAAAAGGTGACAGGGAGAAGGTGACAGGGAGAAGGTGACAGGGAGAAGGGGACAGGGAGAAGGGGACAGGGAGAAGGTGACAGGTAGAAGGTGACAGGGAGAAGGTGACAGGGAGAAGGTGACAGGGAGGAGGTGACAGGGAGAAGGTGACAGGGAGAAGGTGACAGGGAGGAGGTGACAGGGAGAAGGTGACAGGGAGAAGATGACAGGGGCAGAAGGTGACTAGGCAAGAATCAGCGTGATACATGTGTTCCCCTGCACCCTGCTGTCCAGCCCACACCGGGGGGGTGGGAGGGAGCAGGAGAGGCAGGTCATGAGGGAAAAACATGCTTTCCAGCCATGCCTAGGCATGCCAATGGCGACCGATCTCACATGTGAAGCATGAAGCCAGACGTTGGTTCTCAGATTCTGCCACAAGGAGATGGTATCTCAGGAAGCATGCAATTGACAGCTGAGCTTTCTCCTTCTGCATCCCAAAATTCGCTCAGCCGAAATCACTTTGAGAATGATGGTGACCCCAGAGTCACCCTCACAAGGAGACCCACAAGTTCACTCTAAAGTTACCTACAGCTTACCCCAGACGGTGGCGACGTCAGC